AAAAAAAATGAGGTCATCTTTTTAAAATCTAAAAATGTTCTTCTCCTATGGGGTGAGCAGCAAAACCTCAGAAAGAACTGGCACTTTTTTATCCCTGAGAAGCCGTCTCCGGCCCACGGTCTCCCAAGACACCAGGCCTGCCCCTCCCTTCCTCACACCCACCGGGGGAGGCAGGCAGCCTGCAAGTCGGGGCTCCTGGGTTTTATTCCTGCCTCTGTGGGCTTCGCCTTGGATGCCCAAACCTACTGCCCAACCCTGGCCACCATCTCCCGCGGGCATCGGTCCCCATCCCAGGCACCTATAAGACCCTTCTCCCACACAGACCTGCTTGGCATGCCAACCCACCTGCTCCCTCTACCCTGGCCCACACCTGGATCTGCTGAGCGGCTGCAAGGGGCTCTGCACACTGCTTAGAAGCCATCTGTGTCCTCCCCACTCCATCTCCCTCGGCCCCATGTCTCGGATTTACTCTCCCCACATTTTTCCAGACCTCTTCTTCCAAAGCTGATGGCCAGAAGTCATTAGAGCGGTCCTGGGAGCTGCATCTAGGTCATCAACAATCCTTAGGAGACACCCTTGTTTCAGCAGGAGCCCAGGAGGCTTCACGGTTTCCCAAGAACTTCTTCTACCACTGACCCCCCCTGTGACCCTCTCCTGCCATCAACAGCATCACTCCAGGGACGCCTGGGTGGCTCAGTGGTTGAGCATCTGCCTTTGGCTCAGGTTGTGATCTCGGGGTCCTGGGATTGAGCCTCACATTGGGCTCCCCACAGGGAGCCTGCTTCTCCCTCTGCCTGTGTCTCTACCCCTCTCTCTGTGTCTCTCATTAAAAAAAAAAAAATTTAAAAAAAGCAAAAAATTAGCATCACTCCATCCCCATCCTCCACGACTTGCCCCTCTGCCTTTCAGCCCCAGCATCCCTGGCTCTGTAAAGCACAGAAATGAGAACCACCAATATTTGCTGACGGGGTGCCTTTCAAATCATGTTCCACAGAGGTATTCCAGAGTTTCTTCAAATGTCACTCGAGAGATTTATTTCAAAAATATAGTATGACTCTTTTTACCTAAAACTGGCATGGAAATTGGGCCTGCACATTCAAACACATTCTATGGCACATCTCAGTGACACACCAACGACACACAATAGACGTGGCCACCTTAACCTGGTTTGTGCAGAACTCAGACTTAAGCCTGGGTAGATCTTGAACTTCAGTGTTAAAATATATCTTCGGGACACCAGGTGGCTCAGCGGGTGAGCATCTGCCTTCAGCTCAGGTGTGATCCCACGGTCCCAGGATCAAGTCCCACATCGGGCTCCCTCTGCCTCTCCCTCTGCCTGTGTCTCTGCCCCCCCCCCATAAATAAATAAAGAAAATCTTTAAAAAAATAAAAATAAAAAATAAAATATATCTTCAACTGGAAATATCAGAGCTCTTTACTGGGCATCTTTATGTTGTTGCTTCCCAAATTCAGGACTACATACGCTTCCATAAAACCACACAAACAAGTACACTCTAAAACTTCCCACGATCTGAGAACATAGTATGTGGATTATCCCAAAAACGTCATCACTGATTGTGGGCTTCCTGTCTGAGTGTGTTGTAATAAGAAGGGATTCAAGCAGCGTCTTGATAGTGTCAGGGATGCAAACCAGAAGTCCCTTCTGCTCCTTCCCCAAAGTACATATAAAACTGAATGGAAAATCATTCCGGGTTGAAGGTAAGTTGTTAGAAGTCTGTTGCCATTCACGTCACTGGATAGATATGATCGAGGGTTTTCTTAATACTGCACAACCAACCCAAAGCAAAAATAAAAAAGCAATAGTAGATGCTATAGTTGGTAAGCGATAAAATGATTATCTAGCACAGAAGCCAGCAAAATCTATAGAGGACCAAATACTAAATATCTTCGGCTTTGTGGGAGAGGATGTCTGTCATAATTAACTCCACCCTTGCAGTAGGACAGCAGCCATAAATAATGTATAAATGGATAGCATGACCGTGTCCCAATAAAATTTTATTTACAAAAACCAGGCAAAGGCCTGGATTAGACCCGTGGGCAGTAGTTTGTCAATCTCTGACCTAGACTCTGAGGTCTCAGTGTGGTTATCGATGGGCTTTCGTTATGAGATGTCAAAATTTTGAATTGAAATGAGAAATGTTTATTAATAAACTACCACTGGAATCTGTTTCATATTATTGGTGTCCTATGCAGGATCTGACTTTTAAAAACGGCTTCTAAGGCCACAGAAGTTTGCAGACAACTGGCAGAGACCTTTGCTGCTGAGAAAATGCTTTAGTGCCTGTTTTCAAATTAGGCTCATCCTGATTTATTCAGAAATCACTGAACTCTGGAGAGAGCCCCAGTCCAGGTCATTAGTAACAGGGGTGGGGTGTGGGGGGGCCTGACCCTACATCTCCCTGCCCTCAAATAATCTCAAACATAGCCATTCCCAACTCACAGGGTGCGAATGGGCCTCCCCAGCAAAGGAGAGTCTGCAGAGTCCCCGAAGGCCCACAGGCAGCTGGCTCCTACCTGGGCACACCCACCTGCCCAGGTCCAAGCCCTCTACCTTCCTCAGGTGTCATATATAACAGCCTCCTCCATGGTGGCTGGGGTGGGGGGGGCTGTGCCAGCAGTGGGGCCATGAGCACCTGGACACTCCAGAAGCCCTGAGTCAGCACCCCATTAATCACAGAGGCTTTTATTCCCCAGGGAGAGCACAGGAAGGGGCGGGGACCAGATCTCTTGCTGGAACTGACGGCTCATTTCCTTCTAGGCCAGTCCCATCCTTTATGGATTCTTCTACACAGCTGGCACAGCCCACATGGACAAGAAGAGAATTTAGCAGTGAAGGAGGAGAGGGCACATGCCAGGTCTGGAGAGGATCCCCCCCTGCACCCTCCCTCATGGTCCTCTCGTATCTCTCCTTGCATCCCTTCGAGGTTTCTGTTTCCAGCTCAGTTCCAGGATTTCTGCACACCTAGCTGAATAAACCCAGTTACTGCCCTGAGGCCGCTGGTGGAGGAGACCCACACAGGCAGAAGGAAACAAGCGTTAAACGGAGGCATGAGATGCCCCAGGATGCCAGGGAAAGGGACCCATTCATTATGGTGCTGATTCCTACTAAAATGGGGATATTCCCGGGAAAGTCTCATTCTTGAAGCTGTTGCTGCTTTTCTTCAGGAACCATCCTGGTGGAGAAGACAGGGCCAGGCCAATTTTGCAGCCAGAGGCTCTTCTCCTGCTTGCGGTGTGACCGTCTTTAAGTTGCTGAGCCTCTCTGTCCTCAGTTTCCTTATCTCTACATGAAGGGTGATAGAACCAAGACTCCTGGGGTCTGTGCGGCACTCAGGTTCGTCTATAAAGTGCCAGGCCCCGTGTGCAGTGTTGGTCGCTTTACTTCACTCTGATGCTTGGGGACCAGATGGCAGCGCATGGCAGACATGGCACAGTGCAGCAGCCAGGAAGGCAGAGAGGTGGCCAACCTGCCCGCATGGGTCAGGAGGGCTGCCTCGTGTATGGGGAGCCCTTACTATGTGTCCAGCAACATTTAGGGGCCTTCCCTGAATCTGCACAGTGACCTGTGAGGTAGGTACCATGACTTTCCCATTTTACAAGCGAGAAAGATGAGGCAAGGTGACCAAGCAACTTGCCTCCTCAACAGTGAATGCCTCACAAAACCGGTAAGTACTAGAGCTGGGATTTGAACTCCGAAAGATCCAGAGTCTCCAATAGGAAGCACTGCATCAAACCTCTTCTCTCAGAAGGAGGCACAAATGCTCAATCCTTCTCCCTCAGAGTCCAGGTCCAGAGTCCAGCTGCGCTGGAAAACCCTGGTCACGGCCTGTGTCTCACACACCCACGTCTGACCTGTGGGCAGAGGCCCGGGCCCAGCCACTCCATGGTTCAGGTGGCCACAGGGATGCCATCTTTGAGGGCTGCCGAGGCCCCATCCTCTTCTCTGTAAGTGAGAGAGCACTTGGAGGAAGGGGATGGGGCACCACTCTCGGCACTCAGGCTGGCATGCCCCCCTGGCACTGGAAGCCCACAAACTCAAACACAGGGTGAGCATCACCAGAGTCCCACGGAAGAGGCCCTGGAGCACCCAAACATTGGCTGGATCTGAATCAAAATGTAGATTCCTATAGCCCGGATCCCAAGAGTCTGATTCAGGGAACATGGGTGGGCCAGGGTATCTACTTTTTTTTTTTTTTAAACCAGGCACCCCCCACAACCTACTTAGGTGATTCTAATATACCCCCAAAGCCGGACAAAACCTCCATATTTCCAGCCCGAAGAGCTCTAACACCACACACCTTGCCTGAACCTAACCTGGAACCACAGCACATACCTGAAGGGCTAAATATATACACACAGATACCTATACCGATGCTAGGCCCCTCCCCGGGCTAACTGGATCAGCATCTCTGCAGGCCGGGCCCTGCTACTGGAATTCTTAAAAACTTTCTGGATGATTCTAATGTGTAGCCAGGGCTGAGAACTCAACATCCTTTCAATTCTTCAGCACAGGGAGGGCCCTGAAGAGATGCAGCTCAGTCTTCAACAGCCACTGTGCTCCTCTGAGTAGGGAGGGGGTGGCCAGGAGTTCCTGAGGCAAGAGCCATCGCAGGGGCAGGTGGAGAGGGGAGCAGAGAAACTGGTGGAGCTCTGGCGTGTGGGGAGGCTGTGATCCTTTGAGAGGAGTTGTTGCCAGGGACAGAATGGAAACTGAGGAATTGGGAAGACAACTGCATTTTGGGGGAGATGAGGTGGGGGGCAGGGAAAGAGTGGTGGCCCTTAAGGTCTCTACTCCTGGTCAAGGAAGTCCTGAGGACTTCCGGTTTCCACAGAGGTTCAAGGAAGGCAATAGTAATAGTAATAATGATGATGATGATGATGATGATACACTTGAAAGAGGAAGAAGAGTCACAAGCTCATGCAAGAAAGACCAAAATGGTGCCCCCAGCAAGCAAACTCAACGATGGCCCGTTTCTCACCTGTGCTGAAGACACCACTTTCGATGACCAAAACTAAAACACTGTTCTCTTTGGAAAACAGCGTTCATGTCCACTTCTGCTGCGTGGCCTTCCTCTCACGCTCTGCTCTTCCCTCCGGAAGGGAGAGCCTTCCTGGCCAGTATTTCTTGAAGCTCCACCATGAACTAGTTAGAGGCTGCTGGGTTCGTGCCTTGAATCCTGCAGGGGACGATCGGAAAGCACAGTCAAGGGGTTTGCTTGGTCCACTTCTTCAGACACAGAACGATCTCTGCCTGGTGCCAGGAGGCCCAGGTCCCCAAGCTGCTTGCCTGGGGCTGGGTCCCCATGTGCCCTGGGGAGACAGTGCAGTGTGGTGGCCCAGGTGCCCCGTTGTACCTTGCACCTAACTTCTCAGAGCCCCTATTTCTCCACCAGAAGTAAGTAGAATTCCAAGGTCTCCCATCCCCCTGGAGCACACACGCTGCCTGAGCCCCAGGACTGTGAATATGATGGACTCCACTCTTGTGATTAGCTTATGTTACAGGGCACGGCTGATCTCAAAATAGATTGCTCCACGGGCTTGACCTAACCAAGAAAGTCCTTTAAAAGCAGAATTTTTCTCTGGCTGGTGGCAGAGGAGAAAGTCATGGAGATTAGAATGAGGAGAATTTGACTCTCAAGTCTGCTGCCTTGAAGATGGAGGGAGAGGTGGAAATGATTGAGGACTGCCTTTAGGGGATGAGAGCAGCCCCCTACCCCACTGACAACCAGCAGGAAAACAGGACCTGAGTCCTATAACCAACGGATCGTGCCTGGATTCCAACAACAAGCAAAGGAGGCTGGAAATGCAGAGCCTTCCCCAGAGCCTCAGGACAAGAGCTCAGGCCGCAGGTACCTTGATTTCATCTCTGAGCAGAAAATCCAGCCTTTCTATAACCAGACTTCTGACCCCCAGAACCATGAGCTAACAAATGAGTGCCACTCAGTTTGAGATGCTTTGTTACATGGCAGGGGGTGGGGGACAAATACAACAGCACAAGTGATTTAGATTCAGGCCTGGGTGAAAATTAAATCCAACGATGAGACCTAAGAGCATACTGTACTCCCCAACCCACTAACCAAAAGAGCACATTCAAGGCCAAAGGAGGTCTGGTTCAGGGCAGGGGCTCAACAGTGATTCCAGGTCAGCGGATGAATGGAGTGAGCACCAGTTTTTATTAATCAGCTTGCTAAGAACGGCAAGTACCTCCCAGGGGTTTTAATGATTCGGCTACACCGGTGGCTAGCTCTGCTCTGGGCGTTCCTTGGGCCACAGAGTGCCCGGGGATCTCGGTCTGGAGCAGCCTGCACACAGGCCTGGGGTACTATCACCTTCCCTGTCTTGGGCACCGTGCTGTTGTACTGGCACAGCCTTGGAAGAGTCTGTGTTCTGGCAACTACACCCTTCTGCTGATTGCCACGGAGCGTGCAGGTAACCAAAGCCACTGTGCGGTCCCCTCGCTGCTTCAGAGTCCAGCCACACCACACCCCAGGGCAGCATCACACCACCACACAGTGGCCTCCATCTATCATTTCATGATGCTGTTGTCCAAACCACCCAAGCTGGTCACCACTCCTCGGTTTTTATCGGCCCCAGATCTGACCCCAGGCCCTTTGGCAGATCTCAGTTATTAATACAAACAGCTGTGCTCCAACCCTCCCAGTGTGGAAACACTGATTTCTTAGAATACGCTATCCTATGAACACAGTCCACAATTCCCCACCTCTGAGCCTTGGCTCAAATGCTGCTGCCCTCCCCGTCACAAGCGTGCCTACCTGGCCAAATCCTGCCCATCTTCCCTCAAAAGGCTCAGCCTGCCCCCCGAAAACCAGACATAAGTCCTGCCTCCCCAGAATACCCCAAGCACATTTGTTGTGCCTCTTAAGATAAATAACAGAGCCCACTGCACAGAGACTCTCGGAGTCTTGCAGGCCTTGACTGCACACACCTGGTCAGGGCCAGCCTGACCCACTCCCCACCCGAGGGACTGGGACAGGGTCTCTCACACAGTTGGTATAGAATAATTCTCTGTAGAACTTAACTGGGTGGCTCATTCATTGAACAGATACGCATTCAACAGCTATTTGGGGTCAAGCCCAACGGTAACTGCTTGGCATGCAGTAAAGATTCAGTCTCTGCCTTCAAGGGGATCACAGTTGTGGGGGGCGAGGAAGGAAGGAATGCAGGAACACAGAGAGTCACCGGTTCAAAGTTACTACACCTTGAAGGTGTAAAGAAAAGAGTGGTCCAAATGACAGCGTCTGGGGTCCCTGGGTGGCTCAATGGTTGAGCGTCTGCCTTCCACTCAGGGAGTGATCCCGGGGTCCTGGGATTGAATCCCACATTGAGCTCCCTGCAGGGAGCCTGCTTCTCCCTCTGCCTGTGTCTCTGCCTCCCTCTCTGTGTCACTCATGAATAAATAAATAAAATCTTTAAAAAAATGACAGTGTCCGAATGGATGAGAGAGAAAGAAATAGCATTTATTTTTTAAGATTTTATTCATTCATTCATGAGAGACACAGAGATAGAGAGAAGCAGAGACACAGGCAGAAGGAGAAGCAGGCTCCATGCAGGGAGCCCGATGTGGGACTTGATCCCGGGACTCCAGGATCAGGCCCTGGGTTGAAGGCAGGCACTAAACTGCTGAGCCACCCAGGGATCCCAAGAGACAGTGTTTCAAACGGTAAGAAGTGTTCACAGACAGGAGAGCCCACACTGGCCGAATGTTCGACACGTTGCATGCTGTCCATGTGGCTGGGGATGAGGGGCAGTGAGAGCTCACGAGGTGAGAGCTGGGCAGGGGGAGAAGCTGGCATATGGAACAGTCTGGACTTGATCTTGCGGTGGAGTGAGGTCACTGAATCATTCTCATCAGTGAGGTAATGCGGTCAGGACCAGAAGGTGTGACTGGAGGGGGGAAGATGGGATCAAGTGGAGGAAGCGAGCCACTGCGCTCCCACCCACCAGTGGGGCCGGAACCACTCGAGCACCACTCCTGGCCTCTGGCAGCAGGTGGGGGAGCTGGGCAGACACACCTGCATCCGGGTCACCAGGAAATGTCACACACACCTGAGGTGCTACATGGCAAACGGAGCCCATGAGCTCACCTCTTCCCCCCTAAACACCAGTGAAATAAAAAGAGAAATGTGCAAGTGAGAACAGCTCCACGGTAGCACCAGCTGGCCAGCAAGTCTGAGGGAAAGCAGACAAGGAGGAATGACAGAAAAGTCAAATCAAAGCTACGCCAGCCTCGCCCACCAGGGGCAGGGGAAGGCCCACCTGCCAAATCCCCAGGGGATCCTGTCGGAGACAGTGGGAGCTGCGCCAGGGCCGGCTGGCTGGAATTTCTGAAAACCAAGGATAATGAGTGAAATTTTTTGGGTTTCCAAAGAGACTAGAGCAGGAAGGAGAGGCGAACAAATACCACCTGCCCTACCCCTTCCTGTCTTCATTAGCATGACTCTTCTTCCAGGAGACGCTAGCCCTGACAGGTGGCTTGATTGCTCATGACAGAAACTCCTGAAGGATCCTTCAGCTCTTCCATCAACAGTGTGTGCCTGAAGATTCTTTGAGTCCCTTGCCTTGCCTCAAAATTCCCCCTATTTCCCTCGGTCCCAGACTGCTGTATTGTTTTCTTTGCATCATCCTGATGAAGCCCCACATCGGTGTATCCATTTCATTTTATTTTATTAAAGATTTTATTTATTTACTCAAGAGAGAGGCAGAGACACAGGCAGAGGGAGAAGCAGGCTCAGGCAGGGAGCCCAGTTTGGGACTCGATCCCAGGACCCTGGGATCATGACCTGAGCCGAAGGCAGATGCTCAACCACTGAGCCACCCAGTCATCTCTGGTGTATCTATTTTATAGGAGACTTTCAATCCTCAGCAAATCCCGACCTTGCCTGCCTTCTCTGGAGATGCCAAAGCTCCATGGGGGTGCTGTTACTCCTTAGCCAGGTGAGCAGCTTTGTCTCTGCCTGTCCCCAAATCCTGAGAATCAAATTGACATTGGACTTGACATCCCCACCATTAATTGCCAGAGGGCAACAGAGACTGCGGAGCTCTGAAAAAAATGGGTTAAAAGATTCGTTACTCCGTCCCCTCTCAAAGCCAAAGAGAGAAGTACTAAAAATAGTCTGCTACCCACTTATCTTTTCTTAAAACAATTACTCAAGGAATTTACTACAACAAAATAAAAACTGTATCAGAATAAGTAATTTGAGAAAGGGCAAGACTGGGTACACAAGAAACACTGATGAATAATAAAGTAGAAAAATGTACAGTCAGATCTAAGCCCATGTGGATAACAATGGTCTCATCTCATTGGGAATCAGATACCATTTAATTCTGGACGTTAAGAGAGAAGCATGGGTTTTAGGTTTTTAATTTAAGGGTAACCATTTCTAGAAAAAAAATGAGATGCGGACCTTTTTTTTAATTTTAATTTTTATTTATTTATGATAGTCACAGAGAGAGAGAGAGAGAGAGAGAGAGAGAGAGAGAGAGAGAGAGAGAGAGGCAGAGACACAGGCAGAGGGAGAAGCAGGCTCCATGCCGGGAGCCCGACGCGGGACTCGATCCCGGGACTCCAGGATCGCACCCTGGGCCAAAGGCAGGTGCCAAACCGCTGAGCCACCCAGGGATCCCTGAGATGCGGACCTTTTAATCACTATGTGTGAGAGGGAGGAACAAACAAAAAGTTCCATGAATTAATTCAATTAATTAAGCATCAGGAAAGGGACAGCTAGACAGGAGAGGAAAAAGTATCTTAACCCGAAGACATAAAATAAGCCCAAACATATCAATAAATGTAAGAATGTGACTAAATTAAATTACTCTATTTTAAGATAAGACATTAGGTTGAGTGAAAAAAAAAACAACAAAAATCCAGCCATATGCTGTTTGGAAGTGATACACTTAGAACAAATTGACAAAAGTTGAACTCAAAAGAAATGGCAAGGAGACATAACAAGCAAAATGGTAATGAAAACAATGTAGGAAAGTTAATATTAAAATCAGAAAGGGACACCTGGGTGGCTCAGCAGTTGAGCGTCTGCCTTTGGCTCAGGGCGTGATCCCGGGATCTGGGATCAAGTTCCACGTCGGGCTCCCTGCATGGAGCCTGCTTCTCCCTCTGCCTGTGTCTCTGCTTCTCACTCTCATTGTCTCTCATGAATAA